ATGGTCTAAACCGTTGGTTTTCGACCGCTACGACCCGGGTTCGAATCCCGCATTGGGCACTTTTTTTCTGATTAAAAAAAAATGCTACAATGGCCCCCAATTCTTTAAAAAGTCCAACTCCACCAGCGAATGCATGCAACCAAACGGGGATCTGGCACATTTGTAAGTGCAAAGTCGAACTGCTTTTCACATGTGTAGACATGTGGTGCACTTACAGTAAAGTCAGTCGCCAACTTCTACCCACCATGATTATCATGGCCTGTACCACGTGTACTAGGGATAATAAAAAAATGTCTCTCTAAATTGTGAAATGGTCATATTGAAAGGCAGAGGAAAGGATATTGGAAGCATTTAAACTGTGTATAATCTAGAAGAGAGTATAAAGAACATAATGGGTTGATAGGGGCAGGAATATGAAGAAGTCTTGAAAACTTCGTCGAGAGAAACAAGAACTCTTTCTGCTGAAAATATCATCAGAAAAAGAATTAGATTAGACATACACTCATCGACAAAATTTAAAAGTTTCACATTTTGATGTCGCCAATCGTCTATTTTTATTTATTTATTTTTTTTTTACAAAGAAAATGGACTACGCATGCGCGCTACCAGATAGCGCTAGGAAGCAAGGGAGGGCAACCAATGATAGGTAGGATTAAACGGGCATCCTATAAACTAATTAAGAAAATTTTATTATTCTGAGGTGATATATATACAACAATGATTAACAGTTATAATTTAAGATGGCCGCCATTCGAATAATGTAAAAGGAAGAGTGATGTATAATCTAGAACCTCAACCTAAGATAGTGTAGTGTCTCTCGTCTGTAGTGATTTGTCAGCTGGACCGTCGACTCCTCACGACATACCACCAGACCCCAACAGGCAGCCCCTGGTTGAGCCAAATTACACTCATGGAAGTGGAACTTAAGAAGGTGGAAAATCTTTGATGTTGCTGGTCGTTGGTTTTATCAAAGAAGACAGAGGAATTTTGATCAACTTGGTTATCTCGTGTATCTTCAATAAAGGTCACTGTAATATCTTTCAGAGTTATTGTCTGAATCCCGATATACATGCTAAAAGGTACAACTTCCTTAAGTTTTGTCCATGATGTATATTGGTTAACTCGTGTGTCTTCAATAAAGGTCACTGTAATATCTTTCAGAGTTATTGTCTGAATCCCGATATACATGCTAAAAGGTACAACTTCCTTAATTTTGTCCATTATTGTGTATATTGGTTTTCTCGTGTAACTTCAATAAAGGTTACTGTAATAACTTTCAGAGTTATTGTCTGAATCCCGATATACATGGTAAAATGTACAACTTCCTTAAGTTTTGTCCATGATGTATATTGGTTATCTCGTGTGTCTTCAATAAAGGTCACTGTAATATCTTTCAGAGTTATTGTCTGAATCCCGATATACATGGTAAAAGGTACAACTTCCTTAAGTTTTGTCCATGATGTATATTGGTTATCTCGTGTGTCTTCAATAAAGGTCACTGTAATATCTTTCAGAGTTATTGTCTGAATCCCGATATACATGGTAAAAGGTACAACTTCCTTAAGTTTTGTCCATGATGTATATTGGTTATCTCGTGTGTCTTCAATAAAGGTCACTGTAATATATTTCAGAGTTATTGTCTGAATCCCGATAAACATGGTAAAAGGTACAACTTCCTTAAGTTTTTTCCATGAGTGTATATTGGTTATCTCGTGTATCTTCAATAAAGGTCACTGTAATATCTTTCAGAGTTATTGTCTGAATCCCGATATACATGCTAAAAGGTACAACTTCCTTAAGTTTTTTCCATGAGTGTATATTGGTTATCTCGTGTTTCTTCAATAAAAGTCACTGTAATATCTTTCAGAGTTATTGTCTGAATCCCGATATACATGCTAAAAGGTACAACTTCCTTAAGTTTTGTCCATGAGTGTATATTGGTTATCTCGTGTAACTTCAATAAAGGTCACTGTAATATCTTTCAGAGTTATTGTCTGAATCCCGATATACATGGTAAAAGGTACAACTTCCTTAAGTTTTGTCCATGAGTGTATATTGGTTATCTCGTATGTCTTCAATAAAGGTCATTGTAATATCTTTCAGAGTTATTGTCTGAATCCCGATATACATGGTAAAAGGTACAACTTCCTTAAGTTTTGTCCATGAGTGTATATTGGTTATCTCGTATGTCTTCAATAAAGGTCACTGTAATATCTTTCAGAGTTATTGTCTGAATCCCGATATACATGGTAAAAGGTACAACTTCCTTAAGTTTTGTCCATGAGTGTATATTGGTTATCTCGTATGTCTTCAATAAAGGTCACTGTAATATCTTTCAGAGTTATTGTCTGAATCCCGATATACATGGTAAAAGGTACAACTTCCTTAAGTTTTATCCATGAGTGTATATTGGTTATCTCGTGTGTCTTCAATAAAGGTCACTGTAATATCTTTCAGAGTTATTGTCTGAATCCCGATATACATGGTAAAAGGTACAACTTCCTTAAGTTTTGTCCATGATGTATATTGGTTATCTCGTGTGTCTTCAATAAAGGTCACTGTAATATATTTCAGAGTTATTGTCTGAATCCCGATATACATGCTAAAAGGTACAACTTCCTTAAGTTTTGTCCATGAGTGTATATTGGTTATCTCGTATGTCTTCAATAAAGGTCACTGTAATATCTTTCAGAGTTATTGTCTGAATCCCGATATACATGGTAAAAGGTACAACTCCCTTAAGTTTTGTCCATGAGTGTATATTGGTTATCTCGTATGTCTTCAATAAAGGTCACTGTAATATCTTTCAGAGTTATTGTCTGAATCCCGATATACATGGTAAAAGGTACAACTTCCTTAAGTTTTGTCCATGAGTGTATATCGGTTATCTCGTATGTCTTCAATAAAGGTCACTGTAATATCTTTCAGAGTTATTGTCCTAATCCCGATATACATGGTAAAAGGTACAACTTCCTTAAGTTTTATCCATGAGTGTATATTGGTTATCTCGTGTGTCTTCAATAAAGGTCACTGTAATATCTTTCAGAGTTATTGTCTGAATCCCGATATACATGCTAAAAGGTACAACTTCCTTAAGTTTTGTCCATGATGTATATTGGTTATCTCGTGTGTCTTCAATAAAGGTCACTGTAATATATTTCAGAGTTATTGTCTGAATCCCGATATACATGCTAAAAGGTACAACTTCCTTAAGTTTTGTCCATGAGTGTATATTGGTTATCTCGTATGTCTTCAATAAAGGTCACTGTAATATATTTCAGGGTTATTGTCTGAATCCCGATATACATGGTAAAAGGTACAACTTCCTTAAGTTTTGTCCATGAGTATATATGTCATCTCTTTCTTACAAGGATTTTCTACATCCCCCCCCCCCCCAACTCTCCTAATTTCACAAGTTTATATTTCTACTCTACAAGACAAATGGTTCGTCTTTTATAAAACCTGACAACACAACGGTTACTTCCCAATATCCACTTGTCTCAAACGGTCAACTTTTTGAAATATTCTTTAAATTTTCCATGAGGACATTATTTTACAAACGGTCAAGTTGGTCACAAAATTGACTCCACACATTCCACAGAACTTACGCAACAGTTTTTTTTATTTTTATTTTTAAATGTGAAGTTTTCCAATCTAACAAGAAAATAATTAAAATATAAGAGTTTCGGTCTTTTTTTTTTTTTTTTAGATTCATGTGATGAAAAAAAAAATGCTCATAGTGCCGTTTGGAAAATTCAAAAATATGACCAAATTTTTCAATTTTATAATTATGAAATAGAGATCCTTATTGAAGAGATCAGTTGTGATGCTGTTATATGGCGATTCCTTCGATCTGATCATGGCTGGCATGTTGTTCTCTGTATATATACAATACCTACCTTCTTTGTTACCTAGGTTGTTCTTGTGTGTGTAAATATAATATCTTTAAAATAATTTACAATTTACTGTACATTGCGTTTCTATATGTTATAAATATATTGCCACGTGGAAAATTAGGAAAGACAAATTTCAGGATGACACAGCAATTTATTTCAGCCAAGAACAAACTATGAATGATAAACAAAAGATAAGAAATGAGGGAAGTTTACAGAGTTGCAAAATATAAACATAAAAATGATACTCTGTTAATAAAATAATAAATACTTTGCTACAATTGTTACCTTAAAGTATTTGAATTATTCCTCTAGTTGCTTTATTATTAATTACTTACAGGACATAACCGATATCAAAATATTACACACAGCAGTCTTGAATACTTGCCTTTCTTTCATGTAAACAAACCCGTCATGATGATATTCTTATATTATGATGCATCAGCGCGCCATCTGTTATGAATATTCGAAACTATTATAGACGGGTATGATTCTTTTGAAAATTAAATCATTTTACTGCACTTACTGCAATGGAAAACTGGTGAAAGCGCTGGAAGGGTTCACCACTGATGAGCCAGACCCTCCTTTTAATTTTTCCATTGCAGTAAGGACAGTAGAAATTGTTTAATTTTCAAAAGAATCAAACGTGTCTATAATAGTTTCGAATATTCATATTCTTATCTCAACTCATATACCTCCATTGCTGTCTGCAGGCGGTATCCCAGGGATGGTAGCTTCTACTCTCACAGATTGCATACATTCTTCATCGTCTGCACCGAGGCGGAATAACGTCTTGCCAATGACATTGTATTGTTCATCATGTTTATTATTATTATCACTACTACACGTGTTACAGGCCATGATAATCCTGGTTGATAGTAGTTGGTGACTTTTTACTGTGAGTGAACCACATATCTACACATGTAGAAAACACTTCGACTTTTGCCCTTTCAAATGTGCCATAGCCCCCGTTTGGTCACTTGCATACACTGGCGAGGTTGGAATTTTGCGAAATTCGGGCGCCATTGGTACCATTTTTACTCAGAAAAATTGTGTCCAATGCGGGATTCGATACCGGGTCGTGACTATCGGAAATCGACGAACGAAGAAATAGCCTACAGGTGTTCCCAAGTGGTCACCCTCCCAAGTACTGACCGGGCCTGACATTGCTTAACTTCGGTGATTGTTCAAGACCGGTGTTTTGAATGTGACATGGCCGTAGTAGGTGAAGTTCAAACTAGTCAAGAATATTTTTGAAGACTTCTGGAATGCATCAGGGATCAAGATGGGCATCGGCAAAAAAGAATGGTGAGAAAGGTGGGAGAACTGAGCTAATTCCCCCTTGGAGCAAAACTTGAGGCAAGGAGAAAATTGCTATGTTGAGGACCCTCGCAAATTCTATATACAGAATGTCCAAGATAGACATCTTCACGGGTTATTGGAGCGGGAAAGCGCCAAATGAGCCCCCGTCGTCGGATGGGTTACATCAGTCAGATTTGCCAGTACTCTGTGCTCTGCCACCTACGGGCTACCTTTCCTGCGAAAACTTCCCTGTGGTGTCTTGGCGCGGCCGTAATAGATACCATCGGTACTCAACTCCGACGGACATGTTCCAAGGTGGTTTAGGCAGCGCGATGGGGGGATGAGGAATCCCACTGTTAGCTCACCTGAATTGGCTTGTCTCTGCACCCACTGGCACTTTATTTCCAGCTAGACGTTGAAGGAGTCCTCTTATTTTCAAGTCCCCAGTGCAGAGAGGTCCTTGCGCTTGACCATCAGATCCTACTGCTTCTTTCTGCATTCTCCCGAACTCTTGGCTTTATCGCGGTGGCTGGAGTCATGCGTCGGAGACCGGTTCTGTTCCTGCAAAACCCAAATCGGCTCTCTCAAAGACGTCTAGGGACCGAAAACATACGATTTTGCCATCGTGTAGCAGAATTGGCGAGCGAAACAACCACGTCATTCCTGCAGCTGACCTTGTACGTCATCTGCTCGAGCTGTCACACATGGCTGCAGAGCTAATAACCCAGTTTCTGGGACGATGGACCTGTTTCTGGCGTTAACTGGCTCTCCCTTCGTCTCTTCTGGAGCACGAAGCAACCGTCCATCTGACCATGGAGGTCGGCCCTACCCCATTCTGCACGTTCGACCTCTTATTGACAGTCTTGAATTTCTTATAAGTTGACTGAACTGTCTCTGGCCACAGGTCCTGCTGCTCTGAGATCACCTGGTCCTGCCGCTGTGACAGGTAGTTTGGAGACTTTTACTCCTGTCCAGTGGCTGGTAGCTACAAAGGTCGTTCGAAAAGAGCCTAGATTTAGAGAGATTTGGCGTTTCTAAAGAAAATTGATGTTGTTACCATTATGCGCTAGCATTATTTAAACGCACACGCCATATATTTTCGCATTGATTTTTGATTTGCAACCATTTCAGGGAAACATCTCATGTCGTATAGGCTAATATGGAGAAAATACAATATCGTTCAATGATTCTCTTCTTTTTATGTGAAAACATTTGAAGAAATGTGGAAACAATCTGAATGCCTTTTAAGGGAAAAACCAACCCTTCTCCATCCGTGACTACAGTTAGTACTGGTTAAACGATTTAAAATGAGATGGTCATTTGATGAGAATCGCCCAAAAATGCCCAGTAGATGTGTCTACTGAAGAAATCACAGAAAGATTCCACGACAAGATTCTCTTAGATCGACGAACAAAAGTGCCTGAAGTAGCAGAGACCATAAAAATGTGCTGACCAACATTCCAGGGAAACGAGAATTTAGACAATGCTTAAAATAATAGGTAGGAAATATTTATTTCTATGTGAAACCGTTAATCAATGCTATTTTCAAAGGAAAACATTCGGTGCATCAAAATGATTTGACCTCATAAGTCACACAACTGAGGCTGTCAATCGTGATATCCTTGAATTCGTGTTTTATGAGCTACTGGAAGTTCTTATTCGAATTCTGTAGACCGCTAAACCTCTTGTTGCTTCAAATGTGAATCATGCGGAGATGAAGTCAAAAATTGGATGTCCCGTAGTCATTCTTCATTGTCCCATGCTTCAGGGGAAAAGACAAATATTGGCAGTTTATCAAGCTTATCAACTTAACAAGTTGAATTTTCACAAGCTCTTCTCTTGTAAACGGTTGATGAGAGCTTTGTCTACTTGTACTATCAGTTGCACCATTTAAGGCAGGAAAGCAAAAAAATATCGTTAAATAATGTTTTAAAAGATGACTAAAAGACACGCAGTAGTTGTTATGTACAAGTATCTCCACCAAGACTGTCTATAGCTGATCACCTATTTATTTTTTGATTCCTTCTACCATTGTTTTCTTTATTTTATTCTTTTCCTTTCCTATACTGGGGCGAGTCGATGTAACACGAAATGTCTTAATACAAGGCTGTCATTGTTGTTGACTACAAAACCTTTGAACTCGTTTAGAGGCACAAAAAGGTTCACGTCAATAACTACACCTTGAACTCCGCCTTTGTCGGTATCAAGCCCGGATGAAAAAGGAGGAGGGAAAGCAGTAACAAGCTCACTAAAAAACCTGGGTTCAGCTGGCCCGGCTGATAGTACCCTGTAAGGGCTCCTAATCCAGGGATACTGGATGAGCAGCGTTTGTACTCCATGCTAGGAGCGGCTGTACATGACGTCTGTTCCTCATGTCAGAGTCGGCCATTTCTTTTGGAGCTAAGTCGGCCTGCCACTGAGTAGTGCTCCCTGTTTTATTGACAAAGGCAGATGCATTCTACTTCACTCCAGTTATGATGGTTGTCTAATCTCAAGCTTTACAAGCTTGATACCCTAATATGATTGAGTGGAGATAAGAAAGAAAGAAGAAGACTATACCTTGATATAACTCTAACAAGAATATAGAGCCTAGAATATATCGACAGAGCAGCCTACTAAACGGTCTGTTAGATGAAACTGGATAAACCAATAAAAGAATTCACAACTGATGAAGAGCTAGGTGGACGAAATATATAAACCGTCGGTTTTCGACAGCAACAATTCGGGATCGAATCCCACATTGTGGAACTTTTTTATAATTAAAAAAGGCTCCATTGGCCCCCTATTATTGGAAAAGTTCAACTCCACCAGCAAGTATAAGTAACCAAACGGGGCTCTGGTACACTTGTAATTGCAAAAGTCGAACTGCTTTTTACATGTGTAGACATGTTGTGCACTTACAGTAAAAGCAGTCTCCAACTACTACCCACCATGATTATCATGGTCTGTACTACGTGTACTATGGATAATAATAAACAAAAAAACACGGATGTGAGGTACGCCTTTTCATTTTTTTTCTTTATTGAGAGTAGTAAGTAGAAATTTATAGTGAAAAGTGCTAAATTGTTTGAAGTTTCTTCCCTTTCCTTTCAGTTCTATCTGTGGAGGTTAGAACTGGGTATAGGAGCGCGGAATGCTGGCAGCTAATCAGAGAGGCGGAGAAAAAGATGACAATTAGTCAGTCATCCCGACAGCACCATTAGGATGTCGTTGACATTCCTGGAGGTCCATTAGTAGCTGGACACCGTGCCAACCTGTTGTTGGACCTTTCTGCTCGATTTCTTTGTCAACACCGTCGCAATACGTTTCTTTTTTTTTTTTTATGTATTACTGGACAAATTACCTATACAGGCAATGCCCGAGTTTCCCTCAGAAGTACAGTTTTACCACAGTATATACAGAATAAAATAACTTTCCAAACCAATTTTCAAATAGGCCCACTCTATCTCTAATCGAGATTTTCAAGATAACTTATTATAAAATAAATAAATATTCCAGGGCTAAGTTTTTTAAATACAACCTTTTTTTTTTCAAGCTTTCGGACTTTTCATTCCTTCAACAGGATTATCACGTTAACAAATTAATAATAATACTTATAAATGACTGCGGCGTATAATTATAAAGCTATACAACCAGTTTAACCGCATAAGTTTATTTTTATTTATGAAAAATCATTTTTAACTTCAAAGAGATATAATTTAATATTTCTAACTTTTTGGATGACGTATGAAAAGGTTGAATATATGAAGAGTGATGGTCTATATATGAATGGATGACGTATGGAGGGTGAAAAATATGAAGAGTAATGGCGAACGGAAAAATAAAAGTGTCCAGGAGCGGGAATCGAACCCACAACCTTCTGCTTACCGGGCAGGTGCCATGTCCACTAGGCTATCCTGGACGTATTTCTCCGTTCGTAACTAATATTTAAACTGACTAATAATACTTATAAATGACTGCGGCGTATAATTATAAAGATATACAACCAGTTTAACCGCATAAGTTTCTTTTTATTTATGAAAAATCATTTTTAACTTCAAAGAGAAATAATTTAATATTTCTAACTTTTTGGATGATGTATGAAAAGGTTGAATATATGAAGAGTGATGGTCTATATATGAATGGATGACGTATGGAGGGTGAAAAATATGAAGAGTAATGGCGAACGGAAAAATAAAAGTGTCCAGGAGCGGGAATCGAACCCACAACCTTCTGCTTACCGGGCAGGTGCCATGTCCACTAGGCTATCCTGGACGTATTTCTCCGTTCGTAACTAATATTTAAACTGACTAATAATACTTATAAATGACTGCGGCGTATAATTATAAAGATATACAACCAGTTTAACCGCATAAGTTTCTTTTTATTTATGAAAAATCATTTTTAACTTCAAAGAGAAATAATTTAATATTTCTAACTTTTTGGATGATGTATGAAAAGGTTGAATATATTAAGAGTGATGGTCTATATATGAATGGATGACGTATGGAGGGTGAAAATATGAAGAGTAATGGCGAACGGAAAAATAAAAGTGTCCAGGAGCGGGAATCGAACCCACAACCTTCTGCTTACCGGGCAGGTGCCATGTCCACTAGGCTATCCTGGACGTATTTCTCCGTTCGTAACTAATATTTAAACTGACTAATAATACTAATAATAAATTAAATAAATAAATAAATAATAAATAAAATAAGATAACTTATCATTAAATAATCGTTATAGTATCTACAATAGAAGTTTTAGCTTCACCTAAACAACACACTGGAATTTATTTAAAACATAGATGCTGCGCCTGTTCAACAAAATATCTAGACGAACGAGGTGTTTTACCTCAATTATGTTTTCATTATCAGTATTCTCTATATTTATCATAACTTTTTACACTGGCGAATAGACATGCTGTTGAAACTATTATAGA